CCTTCAATATATGCTGTGGCTGTTTAGATAATTTCCCCCCTTCCTCTGTATTGAAAGTAATTTATTTTGTTTCCCGATGAGCTAGGAATTTAAACAAACGATTTTATTTCTTATCAAGATAAATTTACAGGGAAAAATATGCACTCTGGTTACATTGTGGTTGGATTGAAGGTTTCCACTTTTTGCACAGTCTGAATGAAGCACGTCACCCATATTTTGTTTTGTTTAATCCCTGTCGGTTACACTGAGGTGGGCACATTGCAGTTGGGCCGGCATTTCAGCACTAAGAAAGGTGCTTTCCAGTGTTGTGTCTCTAACTGCTGGTAATGCCTTTTTTTTTTTTGAATATTCGAAAATTGAAATTCACGATTGTGGGAATTAAAATTAAATCCAGCTCACAGAGAGCTGTTTCTAGGTGATCGATAGCGTGTTTGCAGTGTGATCTTGTTTGCTCGGACCCATTAACGTATGTTCTGAAGAATGAATGAGAACATTTTGTACCGGGGTTTTCTCCTGAGCAATTCTGGTAACCTGACGAGGTATGTGTTTCAAGGAATTGTTACCGTAGGGGTTACACTGCGGGTTACAACCAGCTCCCTCCCTCGAGCAGCCCTCAGCAATGAAACAAAGACAATCGATCTCCTTCAATTCCTTTTATTCAGATCGTATTATTCTTGTTGTTTGGACTTCAACATAGTACAGCATATTGCATTACCGGAGAGCAGCACAAGAGAGAGAAAAAAGTACAATACTTGTTTATTCCCGAGGAAGAATAAGACATTGTGATAGTTGTTCCTCTTCTTAAATATACGAAACCAACTGAAAATCTAAGTATATGTACACAAGATTTACTAAGTCCCTGAATATACCATTCGAAATTTTACACAGACTTTTCTGCTTTTCTTGTATTTTGTACAGAGATATACAGTATGTCACACACAGCTTCAGCTTGAGAAAACTTTGCACAACTACACCCCAGCTACGAGGCTGTTGGGTTTTTTTGTTTGTTGTTTGTGGTTTTTGTTTGGGGCTTTTTTTGGAAGAATCCCCCCTAAATTTATGCCAGTGATTATCCAGATAATTTTCTTCAGAAATGTCCCCCCATTCTGCACCTCCTCCACCTTGCCAGAATGCTAAAGGAAATACTGATTAGAAATAAGTCTAGAAGAAAGCCATTACACCATGACAAAGATTAAACTGTATATATTGCACATTGGTACGGAAACAGAATGCAGTAACACTCCCCCCACTCCTTCCCTCTCTCCCCCATGCCCCTCCTTGCTCCTCGTGCTGGGAGGCATGAGAGAACCTAACTGTACTCATAGTCCGATGAGTCCTCCTCAGACACCCCAGTCAGGTCTCTGCGGTATGAGTCCATGCCATTCTCCTCCATCCCACCTGCTGGCTGGAGGCTTTTGCCCATGCCTTTACGCTCCTCCATTTTGATGGTGTCATAGAGTCCCTTAGGTCCTTCTTCAAGGAGAATGTTCCTCTCCGAGTGAGAGGGTTTCATTTGACAGACGTTTCTGAGTAAGAGAAGGACAGGGGCATAAAGCACATTGGCAAGCCCCATGCCCAGGTTGAGCTGCGCGAAGCCCATGGTGTGCACAATCTGGCCGGCCACAATGGGCCCCAGGGCATACGCCACGGAGTAGGAGATGTCTGCGATGGCATAGACACTGCCATAGACAGAGACGTGGCGCACATCCACCAGGAAGGCCAGGGTGGGCAGCAGGGCTGTGTCCACCAGGGCGATGCCAAAGCAGATGCCACAGAGGGGAACGATGACCTGCCCAAAATTCCTGCAGGCTGGCACCAGGCAGGAGCTGGCGCCAATGATGGCCATGCCCAGGGCCCCGTAAAACCACTGGAGGTGAGGGTAGGCGGCAGCCAGCCGGACCGTTACGTAGACGCCCAGCACGTGGGGGAAGAAGGCGGGCAACCAGGTGAGGCCCACCTCCCACTCGCTGGCCCCCATGGAGTCCTTCATCCAGTTGGCGATGGTGGGCTCCAGGAAGGCCAGGGGGATGTTGCAGGTGGCCAGGGCCCCTGCCACC